ACAAAGCTGCATATATATATATATATATGTTATATACGTATTTATATACGCGACTGCGTAAACTATGAGGCATCCGAATTTAACGCTTCCATTTGTACGTCATTTTCTCTCTCGTCGTGTTTCTTCTTACTATCCTTTTCTCTCTTTCTCTTATTACTCTTTCTCATAGGAAAAGGCGGAAATTTACCTGCGGCCAGCTTTTAAAAGCAACCTCGGAAAGACAGATAGATGAATGAATAGAAGAAAAAGAAGAAAGAATTCTTTCTTGCTCTCACTCGTTTTCGTTTTCTCTTTCTTTTTCTTTATCTTTTTCTCGAGAGTAGTTTATAAAGGAATTCAAATCTTCACAAAACGAAAGGATTTGAATGAGTTCGAAGACCGCGAGCTAAAGTTGAAAAAGGATGCCAACGTGATATAAGATAAGAGCCAAAATTCCTTCACCAATGGGTGGTATATCTATATTATACTTACACAAGAGTCAAAGGCGGTTTTGCATGAATCGATCTAAGAGAAAAGAATTCATTTTTCGTTCATTTTGCCTTAGGTAATTTCTCAATGAAAATATTTAAAAAAAAAAAAAAAATTGAAGAAAACCTCTTTGAGAAACGAAAGAAAAGAAAAAGAAAAAGAACTAAAATTAATTGGAATTTTTCCTTCGAGAAAATTAATCTTAAAAATCGATACAAGTATTGAAGAGAGAAGAGAAAATGATAGGAGAGAGAATTTTCGAGTAGGATGGCGATAATGAACTCACTATGTGACTGAAGTACGACTCTTGAAATCGCTTCTACTCGACGATTCTTTATAGATTCGTCTTTTATCTTTTTATTATTTTCTCTATCTACTAAGTCATACTCTTCCACGGCGAGCAAACAAACAAACAAACAAACAACAAACAAACACACACACGCATACATACAGAAACGCCCAAGTTAAGATACATACATACATACATACAAACTTGATTTGAAACTATTCTTATATAGAGAACAATCGATTTCGTATTCTCGCGAGTATATTCACGTGACGATATTCGAAAGAGCAACGAGAATTGAGAATCGATGCAATTTCTCGTAGGAATACGTATTTCCTAGTCACCTTACTCTGCTTCTTCGATGTAACATATAAGTAGATATACACACACACATACACACGTACATAAACGCATACATATAGAGACAAACGTCCTTGCTTCATCACGCATTGCTTGCACACCCATACCCACACTTACCCGCATACATACACACAAAGTATAGATATACGTACGTATATACGTACGTCATCAGGTTGACTACATCATCAGAGAGACGATCAACAGACGGTGGCGAAAGAGAGAGTGGTTGTCGTCGTCTTCGGCGAAGCGTAGGCGCGAATCGATTGTCAAATGCGCAGAGGATCCGTGTGGGAGTTTGACGGCTTGTGTCGGGCAGCGCAGAAACTCAGACCGAAGCACAGCATCAGCAAGATTACCGAGCCGATGAGGAGATGGCTGGACCAGGACAACGAGCATTTGCCTGAAACGCATAAACCGTTGGCACGTCATCGACTCCTAAACCTGTCGTGTCTCTTTGACCGATGAATTTCAGCTTTGATTTGGGACCCGTATCTCTTGGTCTCTACGTTCTAACACAACTTCATTCTCTAACTCTAGATGCATCTCTCTCTTTCTCTCTCTATTTCTGTTTGTCTCTTATGCATTACCGTTCTATCGTGTCCCATGTGTACTTGTCACAACAATACGGTTACCCTAAGGGACACTCTAAGTTCAAGATTTGAGCTTAATCGAGAGAAAGGGAGAGAGATAGACTAGATGAGTGAGTGAGTGAGAGATCCCAGGAGATAACGTCGAGCCAATTATTTCACTCGATGCATCATCCTCGGTAATTTAAACAAAACATTTGTCTACCGAATAAAAATTTTCTAAGCGCTTGTCGATTTCCCTAAAGAGTCATCCTAATTTCGATTAAATGAACACATTTATTGTAATAAATTAATGAAAGAAGTTGAACAAAGAATATGAGACTACAATAATAACAAAATTTGAAAAATATCTGTTAACATTTTCACCTCATTAAGATACTAAATACTCATGTATCAATATAATAATTACAGTTTTGATCAAACAAAAAATATTGTACAACTGCATCTTCATAGGATACTCTTTCAGACATTAGACGTATCAAAGCTAGGGTGCCACGAGGAAGCATCCTCAGACTAATTTTCTACACCCTCTACAGGACAAACATATTAGTAAAGGTAAACTACAAAATCCTAACATTTGCGAATGACACTGCAATGTTTACCACAGACAAAGATTCGCGACAAGCAACGAACGCGCTACAAGAATAAATTTACATTCTTGAAGAATGGTTATACGTGAGAAGTAAATCAAGGTAAACCTTATAACAAGTGTAAACATATTACATTTAAATTAAGGAAAAGTCAAATGCCTAAATTAAAATTACATATATAATACAGAAATTCCACAAGTAATGATACTCAAATATTTAAGACTACATCTAGATTCAAAACTAGCTATAATCAACGATACTTATTATCAACATATCCCGAGAAGACTCAAACACCCTGGAGACTTAGTAAAAAATTAAACTATGCAAAATTAATGTCAATAGTGACGCTATTATTTCAACGGTGACATTGTTCACGCGCTATCTTTTTACAAATATAATAATTTATCAAATGTCTATCTAACAAATTGTAAAGTGTTGTATGGGAGCAAAGTAAATTAAAAAAAAAAAAAAAGAAACATTTATTACAAATATGTATCTTGATTAAAAGACGTGTGTTCTCTTTTAGACGTTAACAAAAGTACGCGTAGTTGAACTTATCATTCTTATCGGTAAAACGGTAATACCAACCTACCACTGGCATTAGCAGTTTTTACGCTAGAATGGATAATATTGTAAAAACGTACTGCTTATTGTAGTACATAGAACGAATATCGGAAAATCTTTGTAAAAATGGAATAAAAAAGAAAGAAAGACAAAAAGGAGAAAATAATAGAGGAAATCGAAAAGTAGGAAATACTTCGCGTGCAAAACGTGTGAAGATAAAATCGTGCTCACGTATACTAACGTACATACTTCTACAAATACATACGTATGTAAGTACATAGCAGTTTTAAGTCTATTTCGTTAAGGAAAATGACTTTCCTTTTTCTTTCTCTCTCTCTCTCTCTTTCTCTCTCTCTCTCTCTCTCTCTCTCTCTCTCTCTCTCTCTCTACTTCGATTTAAACTTTCTACAAAAATCCTTTTTCAAAAGATTTCCTCCCAAAGCACTGGAATACTATTCGCAAAAGTATGTAACATTTCATATAAAAAAAAAATAAAAAAAGCATTAAGAGAAATTTTCCTTACCATTGTCAATCTAACGTGAATACGAAATATCATTGAACGTCCAATTAAATTTACTCGAAAATAATCTAACATAAATGGATCATCGAGAAAGTTCTGATTTAATACGTAAAAAGTCTGCTTATAATCAAATCGTTAGATGAACCGTAAGAAACGCGACACGACATTGCTATCTCTCACTCACTCTCTCTCTCTCTCTTTCTCTCTCTCTTTATCTTTCTTTCTTTTCTTTTCTTTTTTATTTGACGATAAATCGCGGAAAAATCTCGGTGATCGAAAACGTTTTCGCGAGAAGTTAATTCAAGGGGCGGTAGCGCGTCGTAACAGTTTCCTGTCGGGTCGATCGGTCGCAGATAAGTTCATTTCTCTCGGAACCCTTGGAGAATTCTTTGGGATAGGGTCGCGACGGAAGCTTCAAATTGATTAACCCTTTCCGAAGGAACAGAAAGAGAATAAAAAGAGAAAAAAAGAAAACGACAAGCAAGCTAGCAGGCAGGCAGGCAGGTAGGCAGACAGGCAGACTGACAGATAAAAAAGAGAACAAAAAAACGAAAGCAAATTAGATTAGAATTTTAATTAGACAAGTTTGTTAGTACGGTCTGTGAGCAATAAATTAAAAAGGAAAAAAAATTTATATAGTATATCAGTATAAATGTATTACAGACAAAAATAAAATACTAAAAAAGAAATAATAGAAAGAAAAATAGAGAGAGAGAGAAATCGTAATGAAGAAACAAGAGAAACAGATAGCAGGAAACGGTTAGGAAGGTTAGTGTTACGGTCGAACAAGTAGCGTAAGTCCGCGATGCAGCTTAGGTTCATAAACTAACGTGAAAAGGGATGAGAGAGAGAGAGAGAGAGAGAGCTCGTGCCTGCCTCCAGGATGCAGAAAGTTCCAAGGGGGGTGGGTAAGAGAGAAGAAGGGAAAGAGAAACCTACAATAAGAGCGTCGTTAGGTTCCGTGGTTATACGAGGTGCGTAATGATCGTTGCGCGGTCGACCCTTACATCGGCGATTAGCACCATTCTACTAGTAGGAAATGACGAGCTTGCTTCTACAACTAGAGAAAGAGAGAGAGAGAGAGAAAGGGAAAGATAGAAATAGAGAAAGAGATAGAAACAACTTACTCACCGAGATTGTACACGTTCGCAGCTTTACCACAGGACTCACGTACTTCTTGATTGTCCCATCCAATGGGGTACATCACCAAACCACCACATATCATTGCAGCTGAAATACAAATACGAAAGATACACAGTATAAGAATATTTGTCATTAGCTTTGATATTCTATTCCATAAAAAAATACAAACTAGAGAACAAATAAGGAGAATAAGAGTATGAATAAGAAGATTGTGGAATAATACAAAGAGACGGAAACCCTATGTTGTTTCGATGTGTCTCTCTTTGTATAGCTGAACTAACTTTCCACGTAGATATACCATCGATCTTCCCACTCTCCTTGATGGAAACACGCTCGAAACCGAGAAATTCCAGAAATGTCACGGTTCACCGCTGTAAGGTGGTTGCTCGACGAATACGACGACAACGACGACAACGACGACATCGACGACGACGACATCGACATCGACGACAACGACGACGATGGCTACGACGACGAGATAAACTCGATTTTGTGGTAGATTATCTCAAGGATAGCAACGTCGATCGAAGGATTACCTCAAGGAACTCAGTTATAAGCGGGACCATTTAACAGGAACGTGGAAAGTTCGATAGGCTTTCGGGTGAGAGGATAAATTTCTCGATTTTCTGAGAATTCGAGATTATTACCTTATCCAATATGGTTTCTTTTCTCAAGATCATTTTCTTATATTTCGAATTGAACGAGGTGTTTTTGCGTAAATGAAGAAAAAAGAAATTCGTATAGAATTGGAAATCGAACAAAAAGGATTTTTAATCGTATATTCGATTAATTTGAAATATTGATTGAAAAAAAGGGGATATGGTATTTGTTAAACTATAGAAAAAGAGTTTAGTTTATTCCAAACAGATCCGTAAATGAAATTTGGAATATTCGGTACATATAAACGTATACAATTAAATTAAATCGCATACCTTAGAAGCAACCAAACGTTAAACGTTCCATCACGGTTTACTAGTACTAGCCGTAAAGTTATTTACTCTCGATTAAGATCGACGAGAACGATCGTCTACTAAACTTTGAATGCTATGATACCTAACTCTCATCCCCTTTCTTCCTATAACTAGGAGTAGCAAATCGCCAACCACGATGCAACGCGAGTTATTTGTACTAATACCGACAATTGATGGATTATATACGTTAGAAATGAAGTTTGTTGTTAGACGAGACAATGACTACTCACCGGCTATGAAATGAATAGAACCAAGAAGCCTCGTATGCTTCGGAGTCCTTAGAATATGTGGTAGAAAAGAAGATGCAGCTGCTAGAAGAGTCAAAGCACCGATCACTGCGATCGATACACCGATCCCCATCGTTACTGTACTTGCTTGCCACCATGCACTTGGTATATCCCAGAAACTGCAAATTTTATTTTTCATTTTTGATCTTTTATTGTTAAATATTTTACATACATTTCTCAATTTCTTCTTTTCAAAGTTAAAAATATATTTGAAAAAACTTATTTATACAAATTTACAAAACATTTTCTGCATTGAAAGAAGTACTTCGACTATTTTAATATAAATATTTATATTTATCATATATGAGAAAAGAATTTCTGCTATTTCTCCATAAAAGCAAATAAAGAATATCTAGAATAAAAAATGTTTAACATGTTGAATATTAAGTATGAGTCATTACTCTCTCAACGATATTCTATTTTTTAAACGTTTTCAAGATTTCTTTTGTGACATTTAAATTAATTGAAATGACAATTGTCTCATATTTGTTACGTACTGAAAAATAACTAAATATATATTAATCGAGATATCATGTAAAAATATTAAAAAGAAAAAATATTTTTATCCATTTTTCTTTGGTTGTAAAAAATGTTATTTTATTTCAATGAGTTTTCAAATTTTTCTACCTTAAGATGACAAAGATTAAATGTCTTTCTGATAATTACGAAAGATATCTGTGCAAGTATATATATGTATGTATGTATTATATGTATGAGTATGCATCTCCGTTCACAGCTTCGCTTGGGACGCTTTATCCCGTGTTGATCGTCGTCATTGTTTGCCTCCGTTACGTTACGCTCGGGATATCTGTTGCCAGTTACAGAATAATTTATACGTCATCCCTCCCGCAATATACCTTGCACGCTCGTAATTAATTCCAAGTTCGGCTATCAACGAATACTAGACAGCCGTTACTAGTATTGTTTTGAATGCTGTGGAATATACACATGTATTACGATTCACAAGATTATTTCTTAGCCATATGTTTGGAATTGAATGAAACGATTGTCGATTGAATCAAAATGATATATTAATTTACGTTACAATTTATATCTTATCTTGTTACTTTGATTTTTAAGGGTTGGAGTTATTTCTTTATGAACACTTTCTTACATTTATTCAATACTATTAAATAAATCGCATCTTTTTTTCTTTTATTTCTGCAAATTTTGGGTTATTCATCTATATTACTACTAACAATGCCCACGTTGTTTGACTTTAATGTGATTGGCCAAGAATTAGTAATTCAACGTGACTAAGCCGTTGACTTAAGAGGTTACAACACCTTGGCGCTCGTAAAAACTACCGTCAAAAGAAAATTTTTGTTTGACGAGACTTTCAAATTTTTTCATCCCCTTTCTCGGGCCATACCCTTGGCTCGCGGGACAAGTGTCAGACCTGTGGGCTTGTGACGCTACTTGAAAGTTACGTCAATACAAAAATTTTCTTCTTGTGCTAGTTATTCCGAGATTAAAGTCGGTATAACTCTTTAACTCGAATCTATGTAGATATATATAATAAATAATATAATAAAAGTATTATACACAAATGTTTTAATATTTATTATTTAAATATTTATTATTTAAATATTAAAACCTTTGTGTATATATGTTTGAAAACGAATATTTTAACAGAGTATTTATTATAGTTTAAATATTGAATACATTTTTAAATTATCGGATTTTTAAACAAATAATAAAGTTTCATCAGTTTTCACAAAATTATTTTTAAATCAATATCAATTACTTGAGAATTTATTTACCATATCGTATAAACGAAAATTTTAATTTATTTTGTTTCATATTTATTTTTTTTCTCCTCTCTTCTGTTCTCTTCTTTTTTTTTTTTTTTGCAGAATTAGTAACAAGCTACGCAGAAAATATTTGATAAGTTTAAATGGAATAAGATCGATTAGTGATGAACAAATATTGATGAATATGTACAACATCGATTGGCAATTATTAATGTTAACGGTTCTTCTCAATCGAATATGCCTGACAGATATGCAAAAGTTAAATCAATTGTATCCCTCCGAATTTGTTGGTCCCACAATTATTTACTTTATATAGAATACCCAGATACCATATATACCATGTATATATATCTTTTTTTATTTTGTTAATTTTCTGTCCCTTTTTAAACAGTAATCGGCCGTGAGCTTTCGTTCCATTTGCATTCGTATCGTGGAAACGTCTACGTGGAATTAATGTTTTATTAGTATGTTTTTTTTATATACCTCTTTCACAGATAACACTTTGATATCTTCGTTAGCAATAATTTATTTTCGGTAAATGTATTTACGCTCATCGATAAAACCCGTAAAATGACGTTTTTATATACTACACTCTCATTCGAATTTAAAAATAATTTCTCGTACCTTTGAAAGAAAAAAAAATCATTTAAATAAATATTACCTCGCGTTGCCTAAATAATTTTAAACAAATATAATTAAAAAAAAAAAAACAGAAGAGAATAAAATAATTTTATTTTATGCGTAATAGTTAGCTATAAACCAACCTAAAGATACCTTGTGACAAATGTACAATAGAGAAATAAACACGTACACTCATCTATCATAATTAATTGTAGAAAATTTCAAACGAACATGCGCTTAACAAAAATTTCAAAGGGATAGCTTTGTTTGTTTTTTTATTATTTTTTTTTTTTTATGCGTCTCGAATTTCTGTCTACCTCTCAAATACTTTCCACTAGCTCAGGTATACAAGCGTTACGTTGTTACGTGTAACTTACACATATAACTTACACGCACGCTCAAACCTTTTCACGCGGAAAAATACAAGCGTAAATGCGTATATGAAAATTCAGGGAGGAAGAGATTCGGTTTTGGCAAACAATGGCGCGGACGATATTTGCCATTTTCGAGCAGGCACAGTGGTGATACATTCAGGAATTTCTGGTCGCGCTAAACGAGGAGGATGCGGTTCCGGTCGCGGAAATGCGGGCAAATGGGCGGCACGTGTACACACAAACGAGCCGCAAACGTATACATACATAGATATGTCTATAGGAAGAACCAATGAGTATGAGGATATACACGACCCTTACATATTTAAATATATACATACATACATACATATATATATATATATAGATAAACATACATTTACATACGTACCTAGAGTACCGTGCACACTGGTAAACTATCTCAGGTGTAGCGTTAGGTGCTCTGATTCGTGGATAGTTGCAACGTCGAAAGGAACTGAAGTACGCGTCGGCCTTTCCCAGTAGTCGTCCCTGAAAAGTGTAGTAGACATAAATCTAAACAGACGTCAGTGTGCGCTTACCATTCGCTATTTTAAGGTCCTATGCATATAGGGTAGACCAGAAAAAGGTCTGCTTTACGCTTCACGCACCGATCTTACGCGCGGCCGTGTTTTACGATGCGATTCTGTGGAAAAATATGACGGAAAACACGTTCTTTGAAATTTCCTCTTTAGGAAAGAGTCAAGAAAGTATACTAAAATATTTCAAAGTAAGAAAGTATTGATGTTGTGTAAAATCAATTTTTCAACCTTTTATAAAAAAAAATAGGGGTTTCTTTTTAATTTTTTTTTTTAAATTTCTAAGGAGCGTCAATCGACAAATACGAATTAGTAAATAGAGAAATTGTTTAAAGAGACAATTGTTTTTTTCATTGCATCGATGATATATCATTTTATGGAAAAATTGTACGAATTAGTTTAACGATCTGTGATTAAACGAACAGATAATAAACAAATATATTTAAATACCAAAAAAAGAATGAAAGAGAGAAAGCTAAAACGTTTCGAAAGAAGCATCATTAAGCCTGAGCTTGATTAATAGATACCTAAACGAACACGTGATTAAATTTGTATCCATTTAATTTTTTCGCGTTTACTTTGCGTAAAATCGGATTAAAAAAAAATATAGTGCGAGAGAAAAAGAGAGAGAAAAAAAATAACAAGCGGAGGACGGTTTCTAAGTATTATCGTTGTGTTGAACGCGTTCATTTTTCAACGTTCTCGTTATTTCGCGTTATACAGCTATGTATATCGGCTAACATGTTAAAGTATTTTCATAAGTAAGTAACTACGTAAATAAGTAAGTATGAAGAAAAATTTGCGTGGGAACGGCAAAAAAGAGAGAATATTCTCGGACTAAAATGGTTAGCATTTTTCGTTCGTTTCGAAATCTCTTCATTTTTGATTTTTTTTTGTTAAAGATAAAAAAATGAAAGAGAAAGGGGGAGCAAAAAAAATATAATCTGCTTATACAAATCTGTACGAAGGATACCATCGAGTCGCGAAATATTCCTTTTTGGATTGACGATAAATTGAATCTCACAAAGTGTGCAAATGTTACAACTTCCGTAACTCCTAATTAGCTGAAATCGTAAAGTTTTGTATATAAATCATATGATGAAGTCCTTGAAAAAGCCGACTTTCGCGAACCACATGTCTTCATACATCGAAATTACTAGGTTAGAATGGTGTTAATATAATTGCTTCCATGTAATATTTTCTATCTTTTATATTTTAATTGATATTTATTTAAAAAATGTAAAAATCATATTTTATAAATTATAAATTTATGTAAAAATATCTTTTGAGAAATAGTCAATTTAACCCAATATATACTAGATGAGATAATTAAAATAAGACGCATAAATAACTCGTTGTTATTGGTGATAAAAAATAATTCGTTTCAGACAGAACTTACTACTTGGATTCCAAAATAGCATAATCCTATGTTATATATCTTATAATATATTTACTATGTTACGTGTTACGTATTTATTTTTTAAGTTTTATTTATTAAGCCAAAAAGAAAATTCAATAATAAAAACTCCAAAGTAATTGTACATGTCTTAAAAATATATGCCCTATTAAATATTACATAGAAAAATAAATTATTCCCTTTAAAATAAAATAAAAAAATAGAAAATTTACCGTCACACGTTTTCTACGCTTACGAAAAAATTATTAACGTGGGATTACGTTACCTCACGAAAGCAAGAAAAAATTCATTAAAAAGATTTATTTAAATTGCTAATAATAATCGAATTATTCAGATAGGTTGTTTAAATACTTTACTTGTTATTATCTTATAATATTTCTATCTTTCTCTCATTCTCTTTTTTTTTCTGTCTGTCCATCTCCTACTCTCTCATGCAGAATTTGTAATGTGGCAATTTCGAGAACCATCGGTATGCTAATAACCGTGTTACCTCGAGCTCGTACGCTTCGCATATTCTTCCAAGGTATCCTTTGCCAGGATACTGCACACTATCTTAGCGTTATCTCGAACAAAAACGCACGGCGACTTCGAAACTACAACGGCGCCAGGTTTCGGTCGATTAAGAATCCTAATCAGGCAGCGTCTCCTTCATAGGAGGCTCGAAAAAGAAAGACGAAAAGGAAAAAGAAGAAGAAGAAGGAGACGGTTAAGAAGAAGGGTAGGAAAAAAAAGGAAAGGAAGAAGAAGAAGAAGAAGAAGAACGAAAAAGAAAATCTAAAAGAGGAGACAAAAAAGGAGAAAGTAAACTTTGCAAGTTCGTATAAATCACGGTGAGAGAGAGAGAGAGAGAAAGGGAGATAAAAAATCGAAGGATTTTACATACATATGCAAGATCTATGGTACATTCTTGGACAAAATTTTACACTATCGTTCCCTTCTTTCTTTTTTGTGTTTTTTTTTTTAATTTCCTTTATATCATTTTTCTTAATCCTTTATACATAGTTCGATCTTTTTCAGGATACTAACATTTAACAAAGTACCAATCATATATTTTAACGTTTTGCATTTATCGTCGAATAAAAAAATAATTTATTTACCTATCCGAAACGCGAACGGTTTTATTTAAATAATTCCTACATCGTTGAGAAAAATAATTAAAAAAAAAAAAGAAAACAAAATAAATTTAAAGGTAACTACTGTGTAACGTTTGAAATTTTTTACCAGGAAGATCATATGTGCACGTAGGTGTAAATCCGAGGAGAGATAAGTAAATTCGCAGCTGGTCGACATACTTGAAAATAAAAAGGTAGGATAACGTGTTTGGAGATTCCTGTTTTCTTATGCAAATGTAACGCAACGTTGCTGGTGGTGTTCCGTAAGCTTTGATCCCATATGCGTAAAATTTCGTTCGTTTCTACCCTTTCCCTTTCGCTCATACACACACATGCACATATATACGCACACTCATTCGCGACATCGTTCAGAAACGAGACGTCGACGATGAATATAACATTAAATATCCATTGTTTCGTCAGAGAGAGCCCGCTTCAGTGCGACATTATGCGGATAATAAAGTTCGAATCCACTAATACTCGAATATTGACTCGGTAGACCACGTTCGTTCGTTGGTAATTCCCAACAAAGGAATACCTACTACCGACTAATTTATTGAAATATACTGACGTTCCTATAATCCGATTATGTCGTGTAATTACGAGACTAAAATCAAGTATTAACGATGATGGCCCTTAACTGTCGTATACACTCAATCATACAATTCTTAACTATTGCATATTATATACAATGAGTATACCTCTTAAGATCGTACAACATTACTCTTACTTGATTTTATCTTGAAAGCTATTAGTATAGTATGTTTAAGAAGAAGAAAATTTAGAAATAAATGCATTAATATACTTTAATTACATATTAAATGAGTTTAATTTAAAAGCTTTCTTTATAATGAGGGAATAAAACAAATATAAAAATAATATACAGAAAACGTCTGTATCTTAAAATCGTACGTGTTAGTATAACTGTAAAAATAAGAATAATACAAAGTACCTATACATTTGTTAAAAAATTATCTATCTATTAATATATTTAGAATTATCCCCTTAAGGAACAATTTTGGCTCAACGTGATACAACTCCGCTCGAGTTAACTATATTTCGATTTAATATTTTATTCAATTAAAATTTTCAATTCAAAAACATCGCTGAATATAAAAACGTTAAAAAAAAATGTATGTTAGTTTAAACAATCCTAGATATTAATTCATTAACTGCCAAACTATATTTTATTTCGAAAATACTTATATTTTTGAAGAAATCTCAAATAGGGATTGTAGTTGGTTGCATGAAAAAAAAGAAGACTAATAAGAAAAACTATTTCTTTTATTATATGCGTTATTTTATACATACAAAAAATATTTATTATTTATGCCATTTTTCCCTACAGTACACATTTAACCGAGTGGTGTAGGTAAAATTCGAAAATCCCCAAATGGGAATTATGGCAGATAATGGGTTAATAAAATGCATTAGAATATTATACATACCTTAAATGATTGTTAATTAATCGAAAAAAATATTAATTGTAGTCTAAAAGCACAAAATATAAATTCGACGTAAAGTCAAGTCAATTTCTTTTATTGATTATTGTTTACATTACTTCCCCCAAAGAATATATATATATATATAACGAAAGCAATATGCGTGGTAAATGAAATGTATTCTTCTGAGTGTCATATAAACAACTTTCAATAAAAGTACTTTCATAGAGGACAATGAACCAGTCTAACGGTGTATTTCGAAGAGGATAGTACATAGATCATATATTCCGTGCTTTCACACTACAATATGCATTTCCTTTGATTAATTAACAATTATTTAAGGGGTATGTTTAATATTCTAATGTATTTTATTAATATTTAAGATTGTTTAAAGAAACATATATATATATATATATTTTTTTTTTAACATTTTTACTCAGCGATGATTTCGGGTTGAAAATTTTAATCAAATAAAATATCAGATTGAAATTATCTAATGTTCAAAGTATATTAATAGATAGGTAATTTTTATACAAATTTACTTTGTACATTATTATTCTTATTTTTACATTTATACTAACGTATACGATTTTAAGATACGGATGTATTTTCTATTTATTATTTTTATATTTGTTTAATTTTCTTATTAGGAAAAAAGCTTTCAAGTTAAACTCATTTAATATGTAAAGTATATTAATGAACTTATCTCTAAATTCTTTTCGTTTTAAACACACTATACTAATAGCTTTCAAACAAAAATCTAATAAATGTAACGGTGTACGATTTTAAAAGAACACTCACTGTATATTGCTGTTACTTTGTGAAATTCGTTAATTCGTGAAACGATCATCTAAATCCTGAAATAATTATACTGACATATTTAAATATAAAATAAGATACAATTACATACTTTTAGTAAATAATATTTGATTAAATAAGAAGCGAATATATTATAATAGTTAAAGTATAAAATAGAAATTTGATCTCAAGTATAAGAAAAATATTTATCGATTTCGTTTCTCAATATCTGTTTTATTCTGCATTGTTGTAAATCCGATAACGGAGAATATGTTTTTTCATTTTAAAGCTTATTTAATCTTAAAATAGAGTTTCTCTATTGATTTAAAGGATTAAATTCATTTCCTTCGAAAACTATGAAAACGAAAATAAAATAACCGCGAACAATGAGTACTCGTAGATCCATCCTTATCTCTTTCTGTCCTTTGAAAACAGATTTTCTGTTAGTCATGCTGTTCTATCCACCTAACTACTCGTCTCTTGTGAATTCATATCTAACCTAAAACTGCTAGTTTTAGTCTATAATCAAATTATTTTTATATGTTTTCCCAAAAATTGTCTAGTTGTTTCGAGTAAGACCTAAGGTTTTCATGATTTAACCGAACTATATAATATTACATATGTAAAGTAAAATAAAAATAATATGTTCAAAATACATCATCACATTTACTTCTTAATGTATTATTTCATTAATATATTACTCTCATTAATTATTTCATGTATCTTTTAACCTAAATTCCATTTATATATATAACGCTGTATGTGTGTGTGTCTTGCCAAAAACTGAGAATATGTATAATAAATCAATTTAACTCTTATTCTGTTACTTTACTTGTATTACTTTTGTCTATCATTCTCACGCATATAGACGCAAAGATATCGATCGACTATTTCTCTTTCTCTCTTTCTCTCTCTCTCTCCCTCTCCGTCTCTTATACCATATCCTTCCATCTTCACGAGAAAAGACAGGGTAGGACAAAAAAAAATAAGAAGGAAAAACTGCGAGTACTATACTTTCGCTTGACGATAAGTCTCTCTTTCTTTCCTTCTCTCTCTCCTTTTTTCTACTTTTGTTGTAAAAGCTCGATATTTGTGTGTGTGTTAGAGAGTATGTCGCAGAAGGCGTTTCTAGCCGAAAGGAAACGAGTGTAAGGAGCCGAGAAGAGGAAATAAGGAAAAAGAGAAAAAAACAATGGAGGTGAGGTAAGGGGATGATAAGGGTGAGGGATGCTGTAAGAAGGGTTGGTCTATGAGACGAACATTTCTCAACGGAGATCGACCAATTGCTCGGACGTATCGCGCTTTTCCGCGAAGCAACGAACCAGCGGCCGGATATCCGTCGCGGCTAGAAACGTCATCCGTATCGTCGTGTAAAAAAGCTAGGAGTAAAGTTGTACGTCTACGGGGCCAACCGTTCTAAGCGCAACCCCTACTTTTCTCTATTTCTATCTACCTTATTCCCCTCCTATTTCTCTCTTTTCCTCCTACATTCTATGTTACACTACTTACGGACGTAAACCGATCGTACAGCAAAGACGGATTTATGTGCTACTAGGAAAAGGGATACGTGTGTACGATGTTCTACCTTATACCGCCATCATTTTTCTATTCTTTTATTTTTCTCTGGTTGGTTCGTTCGTTTTACCAAAAAAGAAAAATAAGGTAACATACCTTTATATACCTTGGTAATAATATAAAAAAATACAAATGTAAAATAATTCAAAAGAAATAATATATATATGTATTTAGTTGTGTGTGTGCGTGTATATATATATATATGTGTGTATTGATTTATTATCACCATGTAATCTCAATTTCATATTATTTGGAATCGTTAATTGAATGGGAACATTTTATCGTACTACCTAACCGTTCTGCTTTATACAGTTATAAGCTCATCTTTTGGTGCAACGTTAACAAAGTGCTCGCGATCAACGATATCGACGAACATATAATATTGATGCGTATATGCATTTGTAATTTCTCTACGTATATACGATGCATCAAAGTGCTTTTTGGATTTTGACCGAATAAAAATAAAAAGAAAAAGAATGAAAACATGATTTACGTACGTATATATATATGTACATGTGTACATCTGTCTAAACAAAACCAAAAATATATTAAAAAAAAAAACCGAAAAATATCGAATATATTTTTATTTCGGATTTTGAACGAAACTCGTAAAATCTACTGCTTTTTTCAAATTTCGTTTGAAATCTCTCACTGATCTGTTAATTCTCCTACATGTTGCATGATGTTGGTTTAAACGTATCTATTGCATTATACATCGATGTCCTTTGATTTGCTTTATATCGTTGATCGCAACTGTTAAACTGTTTTCACATTAGTATGACTGTGTGAAAACGATACATTACAAGGTTTAAACCAAAATGACTATCGTATAAACTATCTAACGAATAATAGTGATTTTGTTTGTTTGCAAATGATTACGTGTATCTGTAATACGTTCATTAACGATTTCATTATCACTAATAAGGAAATTTGTTCGATTAAAATGTTCAATCCGACATACATATATATATACAATTATAATACATTATATGAAAGCACAAACGATGAAGTAACAATTATGGTAACACAAAGATATGATCGTTATCCAAATAAAGAATACCTACAAATGAGTTGTTTTATAAAACATTTTCCATCTGTTGAAAGTTGTACAAGTAAACTCTGTATAATACAACACTTCTATTCAATGGTTTCATTCTAACACAGTTCAAGAATTGGAAAAATACCTTCTTAGAACATGACATCTTAGATTACGATGTCACTTTAACCCCGTCTGAAAATTACAGAAATTCCAGAATAATACGGAACGTAATGTAAGAACAAAGGTAGGATCATAAAAAAAATAAACACAAGAATTTATGTGAGAAAGAATATTCCAAAGTATGTAAGTTTAATGTAATTCAAATTTCTGGAAGCTCGGTTACTTATCAACTGACTAACTAACTCAACAAAATTATTTAATATAAATATTTCTTTCAATTATATCCAAATAATAATATATTTTGTTTTAATATTTTAAATGTAATACCACTTTTCGCACTAGTACTTTTTATTTTGTATAAGAGAGATTCCAATAACACGATATTTTTTTGAAACCTAACAACCGTGTTATACGGTGATTACCTGTACAACGTTTGTATTGAAAAATGCTTAGGTTTCGTTTGGAAATATAGGAATGTACAGATGGTACAGGGTGCATACTATGTCAACGAGTAAGAATCTCGTTGGATCGATTTGTATGTCTGTGTGTGTGTATATGTATGTTAGGTGATATCGACTGTAAAATAAAACTGAAAATATCCATACGATTTGCTCGTATCGCCGAATGTAATATACGTACTAAACGATATAACAAGGGACTTCAATGTGTCTCTCTCGTAACGCATCTCGTTCAAACGAAACGAGCCAAGAGTAATACCAATATATAAGGGTTGAAAAAGAGGAAAAGAAACAGATAGGAGTGGGACTACTATGATATGAAAATAAAAATAAAATGCAAAATCTTCGAAAGCGAAGATATCAAATTATATACCAAATCTTGTCTACATATATATATAGTATATAATATTATATACGAAATTACTTTCAAATAATTATCAACGATGCACAGTTAGAAAGAGTGAATTAAGGCCATTCGATTTCAATTTATTGCAGTCCATTAAAAGTTCGACCTCAAAATTGGTAAATCGCTTAAAGCTTCGACTGTGAAAACCGCAGAATTTTTTTTTTCTTATTCTACCTACCTGCCTCCCATCCTCCCACCCTCTATCTTTTTATTTCTTTTTTTTCTGTTCTCTTTTTTTTTTACTCCCTTTATTTTTTATTACGCTCGAAACAGCGATTTCGACGAGCGAGCTTAAATTTCTACGTGAACAAGCAAGCGCGTAATTTGTAATTCATAACTAAGAACACATCGCGAACGGGAAACGAATTTAAATAATATATCGTACGTCTATATACATACCTACGTATACTTGAATATTGCTATTATAAAACGTTATCGCAAGCGTTGAAACGTCGACTCGTTTGCAAAAGTAATTAAATGAAATTAAAAAGGGGAGAAAAAAAAAGAAAAAGAGAAGAGAAGAGGGAGAGGAAAGAGAGAGAGAGAGAGAGAGAGAAAGTAAAAAAGAAATGTTATACGTTATTTAGATTGATTATTTGTTCGTATTTATAACGATATTATTATCGATATTATAATCGATCGTTCGAGACAAAGAATAAAAAAAAGAATTAGTAAAACGAGACGAGGAAAACCTTGTTTTAAAAGAAACGAACAAATAAAAAAAAAGGATAATAAAAAAAAATTCTTCTGTCGAGAGAATAAAAGCGCAGCATGCTGAAAGTTGATTTTCTTAAAAAAAAAACAGCAGTAAGGAAAGATGGGTGATGTTTTCGTTGCTTCTCTTTTTTCCACGTGGAAGGTACACGAGGAAGATGAAAAGAAGCTAATTTAGAGTTGATTCTCCGTTACGATCGAAGATCGGGTAAACAAAAAAATTAAAAGAATGGATAACGAAGGAAATGAGAATAGTAAAAAAATAGAAAATAAAATGATGTATAAAATAAAGTGAAAGAAAGAGAAGAAAAAGAGAGATAGAAATAGAAAGCAAAGATACAACGTCGAATAATTGTGATTGTTGACAATAACGATGGAATATAAATAAAAAAAATTAAAAAAAAATAACAAGTTAAAAAAAAATACTTCAAGAGAAAAGAGAAAAGTAGAGTAGGATAGTGAATGTCGTTTACCTGTATCCAATAAGGCAAATAAAAGCCAGAACACGCTAGGATCGATGCCACGGTGGACAGAGTAGCCCACAGCACGCACAGCACTGTCATCTCATCGGTTTGAAAGCGTTCGCCTCATTCGCACTACCCTTTCACGTCGTTTCACGAGGTCCCAGCGCTGAGACGAACGTCGGAAGCTCGAAAATCGAAACTCGTCCGTATTCCCTCGACTTTCTTTTTATCCATAAAAATCCTTGCCGATGTAATTTCCGCCAATCAACAAAATTTCAGGTAGAAAATTTTTTATTTATTTGATCGATATAAATTTTATCGCAGTTGTTATTATTATTATCATTATCACTTCTTCCTTTTCTTCTTCACTTTTTTCGTATTCTTTTGAAAAACTCGAAATTGAGAAATGTTACAACGACAACTAAGCAAAATCGAACGATCGAGGACCACTAAAGATCAATAAGAAATTGTTTGATTCGTTTATCACATTTCCGTGATCTTTTATCACTTCCTCGGGTTTACTTCCTCGAGTAATATCAAGTTCATATATATAGAATAGGGACTACCGAACGGCCGGCTTGTTTCGATGACGTTGAAAGTCAAAATAAGAGCTTCCCAGTCGAAGAAGCTTTGTCTGTCTATCTCTCTCTCTCTCTCTCTCTCTCTCTCTCTCTCCTCTCCTCTCCTTTTCACTCTCTTCTTCTAGAAAGAAGATGAGAAACACGCTCAAAGCTAATTATAACTTAACGCGTGCTCTCGTATACGTATCTTTTTATATATTTTATACACACATGTACGTACGATGTACATATATACGAATGCGTGTGATCTAACGTGTATAGTTCGAAGAACACACGCGTTTCTAAAAAAAAAAAAGAATGAGAATAACAAAAATAAGAGAAAGAGAAGAAATAAAAAAGAAGATCAAAAAGAAAAAGAAAATATCAACCCTTTTATTTATGACTTTTTCTTCGCGTGTTGTTTCTCCCACAGAGTCGAATGTAAATGTGAGATTATATTTACGAGAACGTATCAATCTCGTTTCAACTCGTATGAACGAACGAACGAACAAACGAAACAATAACGACTAAATGTCAAAATGGAAGTTAAACTAGCAATGACAAATAAATCATGAACGGATTTCTTATACCTTGTGTCTATCTCTATTTGATCCGAAGTTGACGCGCGCGGTGCCGTGTCGGAACTGCGACTGGACCGTTCTCCTCTACGTTCTCCATCCCCCTCCAACCCTCTCTCACTCTATCTTTCTCACCCCCGTACACTGTTTCGCTCCCACTACCAACATCTCATCGCCCTCTCACTCCTTCCCTTTGCGTTCTCTTCTCTTGAACAGCGTGGTGCCACAGCATCTCGGTTGAACCATCTGGCGAGTGTACCAAAATATATATATACATATATATACATATATTTTGGTATATACATATATATATGTATGCATATGTATATGTTTGTGTATATTTCTATATATATATATATATTATTTCTATATATGTAAAATACATATCTACATCGAATTACCGGTAGGAGACGCGTGCATGCTTTTCTCTCTCTCTCACTCTCTTTCCCTCTAAAGTCGTACAAGCTACACGTATGTATATATACATTTACTCGTTCGTATTTAGCTTTCCAAAAGACAGATAGAAAGAGAGAGAGAGAGAGAGAGAGAGAGAGAGAGAGAGAGAGGAATAAACACAGAATACATACGCACGAATTAGTACACCTTAAAGACCTTGCAAGCCTTGATAAATTATAAATATAATTATGATTTATAAAGTACAATTATGATTTCTTATATTTGACTATTAATTCATTATTAAAAGGAGGTTATAACAAGTCGATACAAAAACGAGTGCAGCATTGAAATTATTTCGATCGGCGCCAGATTATTGAAGTTTATTATTCATTAATTCAGTACCATAGTACCTACAACGGCTGTGTATATTGATGTTTGTAGTTATTCCATCATTTTCGTTCTTATGAAGAAAAAATAAATACGCCTGTAATTTAAATGGAAATATTTAATTTTAGTTTTAAATATTTATATTTCAATTAACAATGATATAATAAAAATAGTCTAGATATAATCATAATTTTTTGTTATTAATAAAAGTAATTGTTTTCAATTATTTCAAAATATTTTACACGTTATCAGCATATATCTAAAGCAATATTATTCTGTCCGGTAATAGAGTAAATCGTATATTTTAATATCAATTAATAAATATTTTCTAATTTATTTTGCCCAGATATTTACTCAAAATTTCATCAAGCGATATAAAAAGAAGGAAAGCAAATATATTTTAGCATATTATTCTTCAAGTAATTAATTTAAACAAACAAACAAATATAATTGTAGGAATGAAAAACTAAAAACTGATCCGAATCTTTCCTATTTTAATGAATGCGAATATACAATAAGATTTATTTGTATTATACTAATAACGGGGAAATATTTACGGTGCTTGCGTATATTCGCTAATTTTCCTTTAGCTAAGCCTATCCATTAAGCTTTTCCCCTGTTCCACTACTCTTCTCCGAGTAAGTACGCTCTCCTGCTGGACGAGAACGCACCTGCACGCGATCATGGCCAAGTACGAGGCTTACCGCTATGTAACGCAACGTCAAGGGCTTCTACTACTCCCTAAACAACCCCCTTTCTATCACCGCAACCACCGCCACCACCACCAATACCATCACCTTCACCACTGATATTATATAACACACATATACATATACGATACGCACGCATGCTGTGCGTGCTAGTTGCATTTTCCTCTGCTAACGTCTCGTAGTTAGCTAGAAAGTAATCTGTGGTTTGACCTAGTTAACAGCAAAACGTTACTCCCTTCGATTTATCTCTCTTCCTCTTACTCCACCTCTACCTTCTCCTACTTCTCGTCCTTCTCGTCCTTCTCCTGATGAGGAAAACGTCAACAGCATCGACGAGCTTGCCATCGCACCAATTGGTTTCAGTGTTTAACCGACACTGTCACTGATTCCTGCTTAATCGCTTCGACATGGTCTATAATGTCAAATTGAATCTAATTTTATCGATCAACGGTCTAGTTATTTTTTTTTTTATAGAATCCAATATATTGTAGAAATTAGAATTCTTATTTCAAATTTTACATTTTAACCAATCTTAATCGGATAATTACAATATGCAATAGATAAAATAATTATAAGCACTGTTCAAACAAATTTTCTTAACAAATGTTGATATTATCTTCTAGAAATTAATCTGTTGTACATATTTAGAAACAAAAATTGTATGTAATTATATTGATGTGATTATGCAATATTAAATTTAAACCAACAGATATGCAATGACAAAATAATTATTCTTCGAATATTTAAAATAATATAATTTATAATAAAAAAAAAAAAGTATTTTTTCAAGAAAGGGAAAAAACTTCAAACTACTTTGAAATACATAAAGGAATATATATAATTTGAAGAAAAAAAAAACAATGGAAAACAAAGGAGAACGCTATGACATTCCAGTGGGGTGTTTCGTTATTACGTGATGCTACTTTGTCTGGTAATTTTACGTCACTACTCATTCGCGTTACAATCTCTTTCTATCTTTCTTTCTCCTTCCCATTTGACTTCCCATTTTTTCTCTCTTCTTACGAATTGGAATCACGTGAAAAAATGTGTGTTGGGCACGTTCGCGTGCATGAATTCTCTCGTCATAATTTTCTCGTTCGCAACGATAATGGTGCTTTCTCGAAAACTAGTGAAACACGTGACGTCTCTGGAGATATCAACGTGCGTTGGTCTCAAAAAAAAAAAAAAGAAACATCTCGTTCGTCTTCTTAAGAATGAGAGAGAAAATTTCGGAGGCAGAAATTAAAAGCTTTCTTAAGGCGAACGTGCCGGGATAGCTAGGGAGACAAAAGAAAAGAAATAGAAAAAATATTTTTTTGCGCAGAAAGATGAGGGAAAAAAGCAGAATATTTAATATCACAGTACTATTCTTATTAATATACCGGACGTCTCGTTTTAAACGATATTACCAAACATCTCAGATCCTATTTATCTTATAAACAAATATTTCAAATAAAAGTTCCTAGTTTTTCAAAATGAAATGTAATATTTATTACAGCTATTTCATAGAATTCGCTTTTATCAAGATACGGAAGTCATAACAATTTTTTTTCAATGGAAATCAATATTTTAAACTCAACAAAAATTGTACAGAATATCAATACAAATCCAACAAGGATCTACGATGTACTTTGTCATCGATACTTCATCGAGTTATATATGGACCCTTCTAATATTATTCATACTAAACTAATATTTCTATATCATACTTATATGTATAACAATAATAATAATAATAATAATAATAATAATAATAATAATAATAATAATAATAATAATAATAATAGTACAATATTAGTTGTACAACTTTACTTCCGCGTAACAGGGAACAGACGTAGGATAACGCGTAGGAGTATAAAATAAAACAACAATGGCCTTAATTTTTTGGCTTTATTTTTCTTTTTCTTACTTCCAACTCTTTTCTTCTCTTTAATTTCTTTCTCAAGCCCAATTTCACGTAAAACCTTTCACCCCTTTTATCGTCCTACATCTTATTTTTACTTTCCTTTTTTTTCGGAAGAACTCGATCACCGACGTCTCGGGCATTACGTGATCTTCGAGAAAAGCGGGAGAAGGAAAAACGAGTTAAAATAATAAAAAAGAAAAAAAACACCATAAAAGAAGAAAAAGAAAAGAAGTCCTGAAGGTAAGCTCGATCGCCCTTAAAGCCAAGGGACGAAGCCGTTCGCGGTAGGATTCGGGCCATCGTCACTGCCCTACGAGTTCCCCATCTCCGTTTGGCACGACTCGAGCGCTCGCATTAGGGAAATGAACTGCTGGTTTTTATGGTCTCTGAGAGCTTCTCGCATAGAGAAAGAGAAAGAATGTATGAAGGAAAAAGGCGAGTGGCGAAGGATCGTATAGGAAAATAGAGAAGATGAGTATAGAAGAGAAATAAAGAAAGAAAGAAAAAAAAATAGATAAAGATGGAGGGAGAATGAGAGGGAGAGAGAGAGAGAGAGAGAGAGAGAGAGAGAGAGAAATAGAGAGGAGTAGAGGAAAGCGACGATGCAGAAATGGTACGGTGTAACGTTCTATTTCGTAGAGAACGGAATGAGAAAGTTGCCATTCTGTCGGAGTGGTGTAGGAGAATTACCAACTGGCTTGGTCGTTTTCTCTCTCTCTCTCTCTCTCTCTCTCTCTCTTTCTCTTATTCGCTGACTTTCCAACCCTTTCCTGTTTCCTTGATAAGGGTGGATAGAGACGGAGGGGTTTGTCGCTCGGGATGAACCTGGCAGGGCGGTAAAGTCTAATTTCGGTGTAAATTCCGGAGAGTTTTATTGCCTTGAGTCCGTGGCTTTAGCCTGCCACCCTCGAAATCTCGTTCGGCTAAGCATATATTTATGCGCATACCCGTTTCGAAGCATCCCGCCGAGCCCGACGTTTGAGATGATAATAAAAAGCGATAATTTCGTGCTACCTACAGAAACAACATTGATTTATGTAAAGGAAGATATCTACGTGTACGCGTGTATGAATTTTTTGTCAGGATGGGAAAAAAGAAAAAATATCTTCGAGTTTTGAAATTCGATGTAGATATTTTTTGTCACGGTAATCCGTAATTGTCTGGCGACACCACCAAATGTAATAACCGTAACAATCAGAACTATGACGTTTGAGAAAGTCCTGTAATGAAAATAATCATAATAATAATCCTGGTTGAGAGTCTTCTTACTACCACGTTCCTTCCTTCGTTTCGTGAAAGTAAGGAAATAAAACCATGGTGGAAAATTCTCTCAGCATATCCATCGTCCAAGGCTGTAAGACGAGGACAGTCGCTATCATTTCGAACGGATTATGCCGGCAGATTTATTTTTACGAGCGGCCAAATACACTGGCCGATCTCGATCTCCTTCTTCTTTTCCTTTTCGTTCTTCTTTTCGAGACGACGAACCGATAACGGTTTCGTCGATTTGCAGGGAACGCTCCGATCGATAAAATACTGCTCTCTCTCTCTCTCTCTCTCTCTCTCTCTTCTTACTCTCTTTTCCCCTGAATTCCATGAGGGAAGCTATTTTCCATAACGTGCGTTTATGTTAGACTCCGTGTGTCTATAGAGTTCATCGTAACGGGCGTTACTCTTTAAAATGGTTTCGCATTTAAGTAGATTTTACGGTGTCTCGTGGAAGTTCTCGTCTTCCGTTGTTGTAAACGTTCATCACCTTGTACTCTTTACCTTCTAAAGCATATAAACGTTAACTTATGAAATATCTTGTATGGTTATACTAACTTATAAGATGAAAAATTAACGAGCAATAACTTAATATTATATCAAGTATATAATAACGTAATATTTTGTTGATAGGCAATGACGACAGAGCGAGTACGACGAGACAGAACAGTTCATCGACGAGTTACCAAGCGATAGAACTTCAACGACAAAAACCGGCGCCAACGTCCGACGCATAGTCTCTCCTATAAGATGAAGTAGCTAAAGTACGTTCGTCGAGATAAGAAACGATTTCACGGAGGTGAACTCCACGAGATAAGAACTTTACCAAACGACGGTGTAAAATATATTTGTAAAGTGAATGGTCTACGCTCACGGGGTGTGAGATGCAACCGAATGAAAATAAATCATTCGTTCGGAGTACTTTCGATTCTTAATCGTAAAATTGTAATACCTTCAAAGGTACCACCAAAGAATCTAAGCTTTACCATCGGTTTCTTTCAAATCCACGAGGGAGAAAAAACCTGGTAATCCTTTCTGTAAGATAAGACGAATTTTATTAAGGTCTGGATCCTTCTTAGATCGATTTAGCCGATCTATCTAAATGAATTTATCAAAATTGTTTTTAAAGGCAACTTCTTTTACTGGAAATAATAATAATAGGGTATCACTATAAATCCAAATCAACTTGATCATAGATATGATACAAACATTAATTTTAAATGTAAAGAAAATAATTGTCATTTATTTTTATTAAAAAAAATTAAAGATAAATAAAATTACATCATTGCTAAAAAATTATATTAACTAAACAACTTATTTGATATAGCGAATCAACTAGCATTAACTTTTTATAAATGGATTTAACGTTCAAGCTTAATCTATGTAATATAATTTTTATAATTATTACCATAAACTACTCTAAAATTTATATTCTATCACACTATAATCATTTTCAAACCGATACCATTGTAACTATAACTGTTACATTTATAAATTTCTGTATAAATTGGAACGTATTAATTTTCCACATTTTATATAAATTTAAATAAATAACAAACAATTAAATATAAAAAATATTTCTGATATAAACTATTTTTAACTAAAGTAGATATTTATTTAAATAATGAAAACCTCTATTTGCTACAAATGTTCCTGTTTTTAGTATGCAAACACATAAAGAACTACCAATTTTAACGTATTGAAGAGAATTAAATATACAATTTAAATTATCCACAATTATCTATTTAAACCAGCAATTAAAGGAATAAATAATAAAATTTAAATAAAAAAATAGAATAAAATAGAGAAAACTGAAAAGTAAAATAATATTAGTAAATTCTGTTACCACAAGTATTAGACCGGTCTTCTCATAATTTTCTCAGCATTGTTCTTGCTGTTACCATTTCATCCTATTTCATAATTCCAACTAATCAGGTTAATTTTCTTGCACCTGCAATAAATACAAGTATCAAAAAATTATAATTATTTTTCGATTAAAACATTTATAAGTAATGAACTATTAGCCATACTGAGTCTTATTATACTTTCCCAAACATTTAACATAAATTATATAATTACGAGTGATATTTTATCATTTAAAACTATAAAATAAAACAATTTAAAAATATAAACAAGAAAAATTCCATTATACCTGTAATACTTTTTCCACACATCATTTCTAAAGCAGCATATTATTACTTCTTTCTTGATCATCGAACCTAACCTAAAAAACGAAATACATTTATTAATAATACTTAACAAATTAAAATAAATCGTAACAATTGAAAGCTTATAAAAGGAAATATACCACAAAAGATTAAATTTATATTAATATTTGATAGGATTCAATACCGTGAATTTAATCGTACTGCGTAACAGACGAAATGACGATATCGAGACGAACGATTTCATTTCGATTATCGATCGAGATTCGAGTATAGAATCGAGCGCCATGTACGGAGCATATACGATCACTTCGTATGGTCTCTCCCGCTCCTATTCATTACAACATATTAGTCAGTTATTCGATTCTTTCACGTGTACGTATTATCGTTATCCAATTGCTAAAGGATTTTTTCAAATTAATAATTATAATAATTATTAAAATTACCATATCAAAACTAATGTTAAACGTAATCGTTATATGAAAATTCGTATTAATAGTTTTCCCGCAATTATTAACTCTAATGTTAAAGCGTTTTAAACGAATAAATAGTTTTCCTCAAAGTTACCTACAAAAACTAACATCTATAGATCAACCGGATGCATTTGCATACGATGCGATGCACAGCTACAACAAAACCGATCACGACAAATTCAACTGTGAAGACACGACTGGTTAATAAATTCGGAGCAAAGGTGAGATTAAATAAAATAATATAATATATATTATCGATAATGTATTCACGATCATACGAGTTTTTATATTTTTATTTATTTCGTATATCATATATGAAATTTAGGCATTGAATTGTTAAGGATTACATTTTTATAGAAAATTGCGTTCTCCAGCAATATTTAAAATTAATCGTTTCTTTTGTTTTACGTTAATTTGAAATAAAATTACAGGTGTCCTTTAGTGAATGCAAATTTGAATCGTATTGTTCTATAGTCAGCATAATATATGTAAAGACGCAACTACATCATCGCATGAGAATTTCTTGATGAGTGTCAACGATATTTCAGTTTTCCTCATTTCATGTGTACATGTACACACATATATGTATACATATTCTCATATATATATATTTATATATATGATACGGCTTATTACGATTTTCGTAAATAGAATGATCGCTTCCGTTTTGCATAAACGTCTAACTAGTCTGCATTATTTTGGTTGAAAATGTAGCAATAGTTAGTTCGTCGTTTAATATCTATAAGTTTGTACAATTTTTTATAAAGATGACGTCAAAGTAAACGTGACGAGAATATGTAAAAGAAATCGAAAAAGAGCGAGAGAGAAAAAGAGAGACATTTGTCATCGATCGAGACCAAATCTATTTCCATAAAAGTATCGAACTCTAAGACTATCGAAGCGTAAATCTCGATATTTATCGAACGAGATTGTCTATATATGGGATTTTAAATATTACAAAATGATGATGAAAATGCAAAACGATTTAAATAAATTCTAATGAATATATAGAAAGAGTATTGCAGGTATTTTAACAAGACTAAAGAATAAAAGTCAAAATAACAATGGAAACTAATAGAGAAACGTTTTCTTACGGTAAAACGTTTCCCCTTGAAAAACTTTCCAGCAAAATTTCTCTATCCTTAAACAATGGAGCCGAACCTTCTCAAGCATAATACTGCAATTCCGTATCTCTGAAAACGAACGAACGAAGAAAAAAAGGAGAAGTAAGGAAGAACACAAAGCCAAACACACAGAGAAAGAAAGAGAGAGAGAGAGAAGGAGAAAGAATGAGTGAGAAGTACTTCGAGGAAGAAGTTCCAAAAACTTTTCCTTTCTTCTCACTCTCATTCTCTTTCTCTGTCTCTGTTCTAAGAAATCCGAGAGCCAAGTTTAACGAAGGAACTTAACAAATTTTCACTGAAGATCTTAAAGACTCCATTGGAGTATATAAATCGACGATACCGCACAGGTTAAGCATGGATTTTCACGTTTTAAGACCTCAGTGTTTCACTCCTTCCTTCTCTTTCTCTCTCTCTCTCTCTCTCTCTCTCATATTCTTTGGCGTGGTAATCGCGCCGCCATCTTGTTTTGACGATTTAAGCGCGGAGTTTTTGGACGACGAAGGTACACGGTGTACGCGCTAACTTAAAAGAAAGAAATAAAGAGACTGAGAAAGATAAAGAGAGAAGTAGAATGAGAGAAAGAGTGAGAAGGATAGACTAGGATCTCATCCCGATGAGTCTGTTGGATATTTCAGTCTACTAGTCGCACCAGTGGACGTTAATACGCACAGCGTAGAAGAGGCCGGTAACGGCGAACAAACACACATATCCTGACTATAGATATTCTTGTTCGCTCTGGCTTAAGTGCATTAGTGTACTCTCTTTCTCTCTCTTTCTATCTCTCTCTCTCTTTCTCTCTTGGCTCCGTCGTATCTATTATTAGTACCCAGTCATTGGAGTCGGTTCTCTCTTCGTACGCCTGACAACGTTACCGTAGTAGTGTTCGAGATACGCGGAAAAAAGGTGTAAAGAGAATTTTCCTTTTCTTTCTATATAACTCTGTTTCTCTCTATCTCTCTCATTCTCTTACTCTCTCTCTCTCTCTTTCTTTCTTTTTATCTGTTATTAACTCTCTTTTCCTTTCTTCCATATCTTCTCGTCACTATTGAACTTACGCGGGTGTCACGACGTAAGAATATCACTCTCTCGTATTCTTTGTTGCTTCGTCGCATCGTCTTTCTTTTCACGTCGGACTAATCACGACGACCGAACAATAGTCGATAGAAGAAACGAGCGAGCGAAGAAACGAGCAAAATAGCAAACGAACGAGCGAGTAAGCGAACGAACGAACGAGAAAGCGAGCGAGCGAGCAAGCAAGCAAGCAAGCAACCAACCAAGCGCGCTTCTTTCGACGCCAAAGAGCGGTGACGCGTTTCCGTAACGCGCTTTTGCTAGAAAAGCGTTGTTTGCGCTCCAAGACGTGGATTTACCTTTGCCGATACTTTCAAGGATCTTCAAAAGGATGATCCTCTCACGTTCTTCACTGTAAGTTTAATCCCCCCACGTTTTTCATGCTCGTCTATCTGTCCTTGCTATTTTTTCTCTTTTTATATCTCTCTTTTTTCTCTCCCTTTTTCTCTTTCTTCTTTTAGTTTTTATATGTCTGCCCTTTTCTTTTTCTTCCTCTCTTTTTTTCTCTTTCTCTCTCTCTCACTCTTTTTGGCTTCGAGACTTTCTATACACAGTAGTATATGGCATTGATGAACGTTTAAAGTCAAATGTCGTCGTCGTCATCGTTGTTGAAAAGAACCTTCGTCCAATTCGAGAAATCAACGTCAACGCGTGTACCACTCGCTAACGCGCGTCGATTCATTAACCATCATTACTGGCGCGAAATTCAAATAGACGTTTTTGTCTTGTTCGAAAAAGTAATAGGTATACGATCTTCGTCGAATTTTTTCGATATTTTTATTCTCACAGTATTTTTCTGTTTCTTATGAAGCAATATTAGAGTATCGTAGAGGTAACTCTTTTATTTCGTCAAAGTTTATTTTACGTGTGAACGAAAAATATGACTTCGAAGTACGAATGTAACTGTGAAGGTATGTATATATACGTATGTTACATATATATACGACAGAACACGAATACATGAAATTATTGGGAGAGTTCAAGTAGTTAATAAAAACAGCTTGAGAAAGAAAGGGAATTTCGAAACAATAAAACAACTACCTATTCTATTACTTGCCGTTATTGTTTTTCTCGCCCCTTTAAATTCCTATTTAATTGTTCGATATTAACAATAAACACCCGGTCACGTATTACAATGCGTGCTGTAATTTATTGCTTCTAAAACCTAGTCACGAATTGGTGCGTTTCCCTTTCTTTATAACTGTAACAATTAAAATGCTATCTATACCGTTTCAATCGATTTCATTTTAGTGAATGATAAAACAATTAAATTTCACAAATCTGCAAAATATTCATTATTATTAAGTGATTTAAGTTTAAGCTTCAAAAAAAATTGTATATTATGAACAATATACGTTTTTATACTTGTTTTTAGATGAAGGATGCAATTCAGTCGAAAGGAACTAATAATATAAATAGTACTAAGACTAAACCATCCTTAGAGATTTATCGACCACCAGGTAAATTTATTGATTTATTTATCATTTCATAATATTAATATATTTGTCGAATAAATATTTAATTTATCGTCTATTTATGACTCAAGACATTTCTTAAAAACTTTTTTCGTAACCTTGGTAGGTGGAAGAACGGAAGGGACAACGGCGAACGTCACTAATCCAAGATTGAACGTACATGCTAAGGAGTTCACTATGAAACAGAACGATTCGCATCCATCTAAGTGAGTCCGCGTTACAGACAGGGACAGGCCTTAGAAGACGTACAAAAGAAATGTCGGATTTGAAACCTATATTATAACGAAGAAAAATCGCGTTATTCTTTTTATCTATTTTAAGATACAATCAAATTCATGAGAGGGCATGTTCTCTTTTGATCAAATTGGATTCAAACAACAGAAAACGATTGAAAACTCGTACCAAGGATGCATACGAATCGATTAAAATAGTCAAATGAATCGTTCTCGATACGTGCTGGCCTGGTCATTGATAGTTTTAAATCAAATATGAGAATGCTTGTACGCACGTAGAAAATGGTGGATGTTTCGAATGAAAACTAAAATACTTTCTCTCGCTAGTGAAACGTTATATTACTTATTTATATGCAAAGTGTTACGTTAGAATTTTGAAGATCCAAATACCGTTCGAAGGTTTGATTTAATCATCCTGATGATGCAATGAGTAAGAAAATAATCATCCGATGGCAATCTACTTTCTTTAGTTTTTTTCTTTTCGATGCACGCGTTATGTAATTGCAGGAATACAAATTAACATATAGTTTGACATTTAAATAGACTGACATTTAAGCGGGCATGTCTGGATCAGGTCTCGGACGAATGCTTCAGAGCGTACCCCGTATTATCTACAGCACAGCAAATCGAGTGGGAACGTTCATCGATATCTTTACGCTCAGCAACAACAGCAACATCAACAGCAACTTCATCATCCCTTACATCAACAGAGACATTCTCATGGTAGCCATCATTCGAGTTCGTCGAGACAAGGACATCCTTTGGAAACGGTTGCTTCCAGCGGAAATATCTTACACGTAAGCTCGATTAGATAACACAATTGACAAGTTCTCTATAATGTCCGATCAGAAGGCAATTTGATATATTGAAAGGTTTGGAATAATATGGATTAGAAAAGTTATTGTCTTTGTCTGACAGGGTACAAATAGAGTTCACTTCAATGTGGACCACAATGAAGGGAAATCTAGCACACCGAAAGTAGGAAGACTTACGAAGTCTCTATCATTCGTGTCCACTTACGGTTTGAAACGTTCGAAAAGTCTGAACGCTGCCGATGTTCTGGCTGCTAAAGCAATTAATATCTCTGATGCTTCGGAATTAGGAAAGTTTCCGTGCCCTGTTCAAGACACCCTTTTAAGAGCCATCGATGGTAAGTGACGTCAATGTGTCAAACTTCCATATTTTAAGAAATATTATCGTTGTGAAAAAGTTTGAGAAAATGCTCATAAAATTTTCGCCCTTCAGATCCAAATCTATTGAATGCACGTTCGCTTATGGAACTCGTACGACATATATTAGAACGGACCGTTGAAAATCGTCGCTATGCAGAACCAGCGGCAAAGATTTGCATCACTATCATAGAGGTACCAATTGAAACGTATATATTTCTTTGAATATATAATCTAATCATAAAATTCGTTTTTATACTTACATTGATATCTTATTATCCAGAAAGAAAGTAACGAGACCTTCTTGGAATCGCTCTTGAACATATGTCAACAATGGTACCAAGATCGTGCGAGAATACTTCGAGATGAGTCAGGTTGTCACCGTTATTCGGCCTTCATGATGTTCCTCAACGAGATGTACTGTCAGGTGTGGAGAATGTATCTTCTACTGAATTGATTTGTGTCTTCTAGTAGCGACTAACTAAACAAAAAAAGCAAATCAAATCCGTGTCTCCTGAGTAACTCTTACAGGTACAAAAAAAGCTTCGCATAAAAAAAAACTCGTTGAATTTATAGCATTTATTACCTGCGGCAAGTAATTGTTCCTTATTTCAATGGCTTACTTACCAACATGTTGTGCAACCTTGTTTAACTCGAGAATGTATATGCGAATAATAGGTATGTATTACGTTTATCTATGTAATTATGTTGCACTGCAGCTGAAACGACGACAACTTCAACTGAAGACGCAACAAGAAGGAGTTCCACCGGGCCGTGTGCTTCTCACGTTACTCTGGAAATGTTGCCAGGATTGTTTGCAGCCTCCGGTCGTAAATTCTCTTGCCGAGGTAAAAATAAATAATTTTTGTTATTTGAATGAAGGTGAGATACAAATTATTCTATTTGTTAAAAAAAAAAATATAAATGTACAGAGCGAAGATAAAAAAGTAACATGGACATTTTATTATTATTATACGAATACTTTTTTCCTCACTGTATATATATTGATGTTGGTAATTTATTTAAAAGAAAAAAAAAGCATACAAAAAAGTATTTCTTATAATTACGATGAATGAAGGAATATGCGTATCGATCTATGCACATATTGCATTAATTCTAATATCGTTACTCACCTTCGTTCAGCTCATCCCACCTTGACCGAATAGTAGTGATCTACTTATCTCAATGTCATAACTTCGTGATCTTGATATGTTATTTCGAATTTCCCATTCACCGTAGACGGATTGTCTCTTCTTCATTCTCACTTGCATTGGTAAGGATCTGGATGTTGAATTACCGGCACAACTTCAACAACTTCTTGGAAGTCTACGAGACGCCTTTCTTGCTGACGAGACGATTCTTCCATCCGTGAGGAAAACGCTTCTACAATTAATAGAACTACATGCAGCTCATTGGCAATTACCAGCACCAGCAGTCGTATACTATTATCCTGGATCGACTTCCAAATGATCTTTGTTCTTTTTATTTATTTTTTCGGTCTATCCATCCATCCATCTATCAATCCATCCATCTATCCATCTATCCATCTATACATCTATCGATCCATTGGTCTTCACATTTTTTGTGTGTATGTGTATGTGTGTGCGTGTCTGCGAGTGTGAGTGCGTGCATGTGTGCGTTGTCAAAGCTCGAACTCGCGTACATGCGTTCATTATTTTTTTCTACTCGATTGAAAAACTTTTCACGGATTGATTCTCTTTTAACGGACCATTCATTCTATCTCTCTTTTTCTCATTTCCAATTTCTCTCTACTTTCTTTTATAAATCACGACAAACGTGTACGATACATATACATATATGCAGACATAAATACATATATAAATCGTGCCATTCGTAAAATAATTCTGTGTTTCCTGATAAGAGAAAAAACAATTAAATCCTCGCTTCGAGGAATCGAAAGGAAGAATGCATTTAAAGCTTTTTTTTTCTTGCTTTCTTCTTTCCTTTATCACCTAATGGATTTCTCTTGTGACATGACTTATACGATGCTTATAACATCAATAGCCACGATTTCGTTTACATAACGAAGTAAAAGTACCCCAAGCTGTATATTTTTGCATTTCCATGGATTATAAAAAGCTCACATCAAAGATTCTTCATTGCAACCGTCGATATTGAATATCGAACGTTGAACAGGATATTAGAAATATTTTCTTTATTATAGAGAATTTTGTTTGATAAAACATAATATCAGGAAACTCTTTCTTTACTTAAACTTATTATAAGTACTAAATTAAACGAAAATAAAAGAAACAAAAATTAAATGGTCAATTTATATACATACGTATATATATATATATATATATATAATATAAGCAAATAAAAAATTCATTATTTAATTATTACACGAGTGACTTAAACAATAAAAAAAGTAAAAAAAAAAAATCATTAAAAATAACGATTACAAATATATCTTTTATTTGAAAACCTATCATCCGAAAAAATGATGTATTTATTTTACGATCAAACTTCTTCATAATTTACATTGGACAAATAACGAAAAAAAATAAAACGAAAAATTAATAATGATGTGCATTGTAATTGGATTTTGTAATTGGATAAAGTAAATCAAAATTTAATTGTATATGCGTACGTAATCTAATTTTTTTTTTCTTTCTCGAATGCATCGTCCAAAGTTTCCTTTATTTCCTGGTAGAAAAGAAGCCGTTATTTTGTCGAATAAAAGGTGAAAGACCTCGGTCGTATAAATCGTTAAAAATGTATTCAAGACACGAAGAGACAGACGTATTTCGACTGGAACGTATGGTCTTAACGAGGAAAGTATATACACTCGCGGACGATCTCAACCAAATGTAACCGTCTTTGACGATTCGTGCCAAGGGCGATAAAAATCGACCGGTAGCCGAGTAGGCGCGATCTCTCTTTGTGTGGATTGAGTCATAACATAAACCTCAATATATACATAAGTACTTACATACTTGCATATATACATACATACATACACACATTATACCTGCAACTCTCGGCCAAAAGAATGCGATCACCAAATATCACGGATGTGTGATGAAAATTTCATACCATATACAGTTTTTAATTAAAACAACAAAAACAAATGATATCCTAACAAATGAACATTATATTTAGGAATAATCTTAATATATATAACAGAAAAAAAATTAAAAACAGCATAAAAACGTATTGAACTTCAATCAAATCATATTATTTAACTCGAATTATTTGCTTGAATTTGAAAAGTAAGCTTCCTCGTCAAGGTTGCGAAACCATGAACAGTTAAAAAAAATGATGAGGAAACGATACGGATTATGGCGACAAAAAACTTGCTTATCCGTAAGAAATGACACTCGATAGATTTTCTGTATTTTTTTTTCATTTTTTGATCATACATAATACATAATGTATTTAATGTGATATAACAGGACAATGCGGATGACTGCAAATATCATTTAATTTCTTGTAAGTAAAAACATACTTTGCATTTGTAATTGAATGTATAATATTATGTAAAAAAAAAAAAAAGAAATGCTAAAAATCTAATCTCCATTTCACTGATCGCACTAAATGCTTTTTTTGTCTAGCTCTGATGAAAGATTATTCATACTATAAATTTACAAATAAACTTTCTCGTGCATCGTATTTTTAGCAAAAAACTGTAAGAAGAGAAGAAAATATTACGATAGAGTCTAGACTGTTTCGAAAATATGACTCATGCGGATCCAAGAGGTAAAAAGATACAGGAAAAAGTATATCAAAGACAGACATGCGGCAACGAGGTTCGTTTGAATGTCGTTGAGAAGATCCTCCTTCGTCGAAAGGACAGAAGAAAAGAAAAAAAAAGAAGAAGAAGGTGAAACGTAGCTGCAGGAGGCTAACCAGGAGGATCGTCGTGAAGCGTCGACCTTGAAACGAACTCGAGGAACGGAGAGACTAGGGAGAGGTTTTGCCTTGGGTAATCGGTGCCGCGGACTCAAAAACTAGGCCTGCGCATATGATGACGTCACGAGCGATGCCGCCTCGGTAAAACGTGCCGCCTGGAGAAAGGAATCGCTTGCGAGTAAGAAACTTGGTGGGGGTCTCCTTTAGTTAGAGAGGTTTTACGTGTAGAACTTTACGGATAGGCTCGTTCGTTCGTTATGTTGTTGAAAGAAAAGAGAGAAGACCATAATAATATGGGAAAAGAGAAGGAGAAGGACGGTAATCTGGTGGTGGCGGTTGGTAAGAACGAAGCAAGTAGACCGGCGACTTTCACCGTACAGCTAAGATCGGCTTGTGTCGGTTCGTAGCTTGATTCTCAACAACTCGACCACGCTCTTGGCCCAAACCACGTTACAAAAAGCTAAGAAATAAGAAAAAAAAACAGACAAAAAGACAAATAGAAAGAATATCGATCTTGAACAATTCTTTGAAAAACCTCAACGTTATCTTCATCTTTCTTGTCTTTTACACCAAAGTGAAAAAAATCTGATCGCGCTGATCGTGTACAAGGATTCTCGAGAGCCAGCATAATACTTTTTTTTTTCAACTTGACCGGCACGCACGTGACGTTGTGAATTTACCCGTGCCCGCATTGTTAGTTTTTCTAACTTTTTGCTTAACATTCCTATCTTGAAGAAACTCGTGAGGTGACTCAATTCGACGTTTCCAACCGATTCTCCGGATTTTATGTTCAAATGTGCCCCTATTCTATTTAGTAATTCAATTTGTGAGTTTCGAAAGAAAAGTGAAACAAGGAAAATGAATCGTTCGGATTGTCGCTGAGAAAACGTGAAATTCTACTTTTTCTTTTTGGGTCACCTAGAGTGAGATCCATCAGATCCTGGTTTTCTTCGTACAGATGAGATATGGCACCGATTTAGATCTTTCTGAAGAGTAAAGAAGAACAACGATGACAGGGAAACGTATATTTTTGGTCCGTTTCTTCAAACGGTTGCATTTGTTTCTCTGGGTTCTTTGGATCGTGTTACTCGTTGAAACTGGTAGGTGCTAGCCGCGCAACAAACTTTCGCTCTTGCCAGACAAGCTCGCCTGGCTGAACTCCGTTTTATGAAGCTTTCATTTCTAAACATTCATTCGTTGCCTCGTTAACGGTACTCGCGTTGCATATTTTATAATTGTAAAGTACTCGCTGGTACTTTCTTACTAAATATTATGCATAAATCTTAATAATTAACATACGATTATGCAAAATTTGTTAATTTAAAATAAAAAACAATATTTTTTTATAATAGGAATACGATTAAAATATTATACTCTACTAATTGTTTATTTTAAAACCATTAGGAGCATTTTACAATGATGTGGAGAAGCAAAGATACGATGGATGGTACAACAACTTGGCCCATCCAAATTGGGGATCAATCGGCAAGTACTCGAAACATTTACTTACCAAAGCTTTCTGAAGGATCACTTAATTCAGCTTGTAAACTTCATAGGCAGCAGGCTGATACGAAAGGTACCTGCAGCTTATTCCGATGGTGTTTATGCATTGGCTGGCCAAGACAGACCCTCGCCAAGAAAACTAAGTGATTTGTTCATGCAAGGAGATGAAGGTTTACCTTCCGTTAAGAACCGGACTGCTCTGTTTGCTTTTTTCGGTAAAAATTATCTCGATTTTGCAAATATTTATTGAACATTAATTCTCGATAATACTTGAAGTTGAGTTTACACAATATTAATGCCTATTATACTGGTAGATATGAATAAAATACATAATCCATAGCCGGAAGCGTATCGGTTTAGGTCCTGTTTGACAAATCCTGTTATGACTAATCCCTTCTGAATTCCAATGTATAACATTAAGATTTAACTAGCAAGAATTAAATTTTAGTGTAGACAACGAAATGATTTCAGGGCAACTGATCACGTCGGAAATAATCATGGCCAGCGAAAGTGGCTGCCCTATTGAGTTCCATCGTATCGACGTGGATAAATGTGATCCGGTTTTCGACAAGGAGTGCCAAGGTAACAAGTACATTCCTTTCCTACGTGCCGATTACGACCGCCAAACTGGACATAGCCCGAACAGCCCTCGCGAACAGGTAATTTCCTACTTTTCCGCATCCATTAAAAATTTATGACTTTTTTATTCCAACTTCGTGCGGCTACAAATAAAACATAAGTTAATCTAATAAAAACGTTAGACTTGACTTCATTGGATAAAATGAAAATAAATAAATGTGAATGACACGATTTTCAATCGTATCAATAGAATTTTACATTTACCCTGTGGACATTCATAAGAATAAAATAGATGACACAGTGTTTTACCTGCATGACTAGCAGCGAGATGACATAAAAGAAAAATATTAGCTCATAAACAATAACATGAAAAATAGCTCTGAATATGTGAGGTTGCAGATAAATAAAGTAACAAGCTGGATCGATGGTAGCTTCATATACTCCAGTAGCGAAGCATGGGCGAACACTATGAGAGCATTCAAGAACGGAAGTCTCCTCATGGAACCGAGCAGAAAATTTCCCGTGAGAAACACCATGCGCGCCCCGCTCTTCAATCATGCCGTTCCACACGTTATGAGAATGCTCAGTCCAGAACGGCTTTATCGTAAGACTACACCTTGTTCTTGCCGTTTACCTTAAATTTCTCTTACAACATGACTTACTCATAACATCGAAATCTCTTTATATTCTTCTTCTTTTGCAATATCCAACCACGAATACGAATCGTATTCGTTCGCCAGAGTTAAACACGTTAGCCAATGTATCATTCTTATCTAACTATAAGATCGATCATGATCGTTGATACGTAACAACCAAATTTTGTTAGGTACATCATACTCTTGTAACTACTTATTTACGCCACAAGAATATTTCATAACCCTATTATGGATTACAATCCATCTACGAGTACAATTTTGCTTATCCTGATTGTAATCTTTTGCATAGTACTCGGAGATCCAAGGACCAATCAACATCCACCGTTACTCTCATTAGGAATCCTATTTTATCGTTGGCATAACGTTATAGCGAGTCGTGTGCAACGAGAATATCCGAACATGTCCGACGAAGAAATCTTTCAGAAAGCACGACGTATAGTTATAGGAACTTTGCAGGTATCTATTGAGTTAACATTTTCTTCAAGTATGAGAAACGAATATAACAGTCAATTAAATTTCTCCCTTGTTTTATTTATCTCAGAACATCATTTTATATGAATATCTTCCCACGCTTTTAAACGAAGAATTACCAGCGTATACTGGTTATAAGGCTGATCTCCATCCAGGAATAAGTCATATTTTTCAAAGTGCTGCTTTTCGTTTTGGACATACTCTCATACCACCTGGTATATACAGACGTGACGAAAGATGCGAGTTTCGAAAGACTAACGCGGGTCAAGCAGCAATCAGACTCTGTTCTACTTGGTGGGATTCGAACGTGAGTATTCATAATAAATTACAAAAGTTACTTTGTGCGAAGTGTCACAAAGTTTATCTTCTTCTTCCGCTTCTTCCACGTCTTCTAAAACTATGTCCTATTATTTCTGATTTTCAAGTTTCTTGTTAAACGTTTAACAATCTATTAAACTTGACCGTTTATTTTCAGGAAATTTTATCAAATAGTACTATAGAAGAACTAATTATGGGAATGAGCTCTCAAATAGCCGAAAAAGAGGACAACCTTCTCGGTACAGATATACGAAACAATTTATTCGGACCCATGGAATTTTCCCGCAGGGATCTTGGGGCTCTTAATATAATGCGTGGTCGTGATAATGGATTACCGGATTACAATACAGCACGAAAACATTTCAAGTTAACGCCAAGGAAAACATGGAACGAGATTAATCCTGACTTATTCAACAAAAATCCATCTCTTTTGCGTACACTCGTTGAAATCCACTCTAACAACTTAAATAATGTTGATGTTTATGTTGGCGGTATGTTGGAGTCCAGTGATGGTCCAGGAGAACTTTTTACTGCGGTTATTAAAGAGCAATTTTTACGCTTGAGAGATTCTGATCGCTTTTGGTTTGAAAACGAAGAGTCTGGGTAAAATAGGAATTCCTTTGAAGTTCAATTGAAGTATATACAGTATTTTTTCGATCTTATAATAAAGTACATACTACAAACATACATTTATATTTTATACAGGATATTTACCAAAAACGAAATAGAAGATATACGTCGTGTGACGTTGTGGGATGTAATCACTAATGCGACCAATATTTCACCGGACACAATTCAAAAGCGAGTATTTCTTTGGGAAGAAAACGATCCGTGTCCTCAACCTTTCCAATTGAATTCATCCGTTCTCGAACCCTGTTTACCGTTACAACGATACGACTATTTTGAAGTATGTCAAGTGAAATTTATTTGTTATAACACTTAGGCACTAAACGATTCGTGAAATACTATTTATACATTATAATATTATCTTTACACAGGGCAGTGAATTCGTATACATCTACGCTTGCGTCTTCCTAGGATTTTTTCCAATTTTATGCGCTGGTGCCGCTTATGGTTTGGTTAAACTACAAAACCGACGAAGACGTCGTTTACGTATACTTCAAGAAGAAATTCAAAGAAAAAGTGACTCGAATCGAATTTGCGTCGATAAAATGGTCGTACGCGAGTGGTTGCACGCTAATCATCGTCGTTTGGTGAAAGTTCGCTTCGGTCCAGAAGCAGCTTTGCATATCGTCGATCGAAAAGGAGAAAAACTTCGTACGTTTGATTTTAGTGGCGTTAATACAATAACCATAGAAGAATCTCAGGTATATCTTTTTTTTATCTTTCTTCACAACTTCTTTCTTCTTTGTTATATCTATCCTTTTTTATTTTTTTGTACATTAAAAAATTAAGATCTTATCCAATTGATTTCGAGCTTCGATAAATATTTAAGGAAAGCGAAAGTGGGCATAGAAAGGCACTGGTATTGTTACGTATACCGCGTGATTACGACCTTGTCCTTGAACTCGATTCCTTGGCCTCGCGCAGAAAGTTCATTGCGAAATTGGAAACGTTCCTGTCGTCCCATAAGAAACATTGCACGCTTTTCCAAGTTAACCGCGATGTTATGCTCGCAAAAGCGGAAACTAAAGAACGTCGACAGAAGAAACTCGAACAGGTTGGTATCATTTATTCGTTCAGAAGAACAAAATTGTTTCCTTTGTTTTGTTATTTTTTTCATACAACATTTCAACATTTCTAACAATTATGAAAAAGAAAGAAAAAGTAGAAATAATTGTATCGCAAAATAAATGAAAAGAAAAGAAAATTAAAAAGAACTTTAACAGTTTTTCCGAGAAGCTTACGCGTTGACATTTGGTTTACGTCCTGGGGAAAGACGAAGACGATCCGAGGATAGCGACACGGGCGAAGTTATTACAGCTATGCGTACATCTCTTTCAAAAAGTGAGTTCGCTAGTGCACTAGGTATGCGTCCTGATGCAGTTTTCGTGAAGAAAATGTTTAATATCGTCGACAAAGATGGCGACGGTCGCATATCCTTTCAAGAATTTCTCGACACCGTGTTGCTATTTTCCCGTGGTAAAACTGAGGACAAATTGCGTATTATTTTTGACATGTGCGATAAAGACAGCAACGGTGTCATTGATAAAGAAGAATTATCCGAGATGTTAAGATCCCTCGTTGAAATTGCACGTACTACGAGTCTTTCCGATGATCATGTCACCGAACTCATCGATGGAATGTTTCAAGTAAATTAAACATTCATATTTTTACCTTTACACAATTTCCTTAAAGAATAAGTGAAAAAAATAAATTATTTGTTCATAACATAGGACGCTGGACTTGAAAGGAAAAATTATCTTACTTACAATGATTTTAAATTAATGATGAAAGAATATAAAGGTGATTTTGTTGCCATCGGATTGGACTGTAAAGGAGCAAAACAAAATTTTCTGGACATGTCGACAAACGTCGCACGAATGACGAGCTTTCATATCGATCAACTGCCACCGGAAGATTCGAAAAGTTGGACCCGTAAACAATGGGACGCAATATCGACTTTTCTCGAGGAAAACAGACAAAATATATTTTATCTTTTCGTGTTTTACGTTATCACTATAGCACTATTCGTGGAAAGATTTATACGTGAGTTTTAACAAAAGTTTATGAATTTCTTGTAAAGAATATATTTTTCTCTTTTTTTTGGTTCTAAAAGATAACATAATTATTATCTTTTTAAACACATATAACTATTTATTTATAGATTATTCTTTTATGGCTGAACATACGGATTTGAGACACATTATGGGTGTTGGTATAGCTATAACTCGAGGATCTGCAGCAGCTTTATCATTTTGTTACAGTCTATTACTCCTCACGATGTCTCGCAATCTTTTGACCAAATTAAAAGAATTCTCGATTCAGCAGTATATACCATTGGATTCACACATACAATTTCACAAAATAGCCGCGTGCACAGCTCTCTTTTTTTCCATTTTACATACGGTCGGACACATCGTGAATTTTTATCACGTATCGACACAACCGATAGCACATCTCCGTTGCCTCACAAACGAGATCAGTTTTCCAAGCGATGCCAAGCCAACTATCACATTTTGGCTCTTTCAAACGGTGACAGGTCTGTGATGAAAAAAGTTATTGAATTTTTAATAGTATTTATACACGTATAATACCATTTACATTTTATTATCTTTTATTTTTTTGTTCTATGTTTTTCTTTTTGTTTCCAGGTTTAACCGGTATTCTACTTTTCCTCGTAATGACGATTATTTTCGTCTTCGCTCATCCCACGATACGTCAAAAAGCATATAAATTCTTTTCTTTAACTCACAGTTTGTATGTATTATTTTATGCGTTATCATTGATACATGGTTTAGCCAGATTAACCGGCTCGCCAAGATTTTGGATTTTCTTCGTAGGTCCAGCTATCATCTATGCTCTTGACAAGGTAACAAAATCATGATTATTATAATATTTCTTCATAGAAATAAAATGAATAACATTTATTAATTGAATTCAGGTCGTAAGTTTGAGAACGAAATATATGGCCCTTGATATAATTGAAACGGAATTGCTACCCTCCGATGTAATAAAGATAAAATTCTATAGACCTCCAAATCTAAAGTATCTCTCGGGTCAATGGGTACGTCTCTCGTGTACTGTCTTTAGATCGAATGAGTTTCACTCATTCACCCTTACTTCGGCGCCCCACGAGAACTTCCTTTCGTGTCATATAAAAGCGCAAGGTCCATGGACCTGGAAATTAAGGAACTACTTTGATCCTTGTAACTATAATCCGGAGGACGATCATCCTAAAATACGAATCGAGGGACCGTTCGGAGGTGGAAATCAAGACTGGTATAAATTCGAAGTGGCAGTTATGGTTGGCGGGGGAATTGGAGTTACTCCGTATGCTTCCATGCTGAATGATCTCGTCTTTGGTACTTCCACCAACAGATATTCCGGAGTTGCCTGTAAAAAGGTACCCAACGTTCTTCCAAATTCATCCTTAAGCATATGTTTCCTTTCTCCTTCTCTCTCTTTCTCTCTCTCTCTCTCTCTTTCTTTACTAACCGTTTGACTTTTCTCGACAGGTATACTTCCTTTGGATTTGCCCATCCCACAAACACTTTGAGTGGTTCATCGACGTTCTCAGAGACGTCGAAAGGAAAGATGTAACCGACGTTCTCGAGATACATATATTTATAACTCAGTTTTTTCATAAATTCGACTTACGTACTACCATGCTTGTAAGTATAGAAATGATCGTTCAACTTTTGATATCCGTTCTTAGGATGACTTTATCCGAACTCTGACGAATGTTCAATTTGATGTTTCTTTTTTTCAGTATATCTGTGAAAATCATTTTCAAAGATTATCTAAGAAAAGCATATTCACTGGACTGAAAGCTATTAATCATTTTGGTCGACCGGATATGACCTCCTTTCTAAAGTTCGTTCAAAAGAAACATAGTTACGTGAGTATTATAAAAGTACTTGAGGCTTTTCGTTATTAAAAAAGTCTAAAGTTCAACGATTCGAAAGCTTTCGTTTCCTTTTCTTTATTTTTTTCCAAAGTACTTCTAACTACGAAAATGTATTATTGTACTTTATACGAATTACCATTGTAATAACTTTTAGTATCTCAGGAGTTCTCGCAGAAGTGAGAGGACGAATGAAATGAATTCTTCGACGCGACAGAACTTTTAGATTTTTATATTTTGCAGGTCAGTAAAATAGGAGTATTTAGTTGCGGACCACGACCTTTAACCAAAAGTGTAATGTCTGCTTGCGACGAGGTGAACAAAGGTCGTAGACTACCATACTTTATCCACCATTTTGAGAACTTTGGCTAGTTATTGCGAAAATAGAAGTGGAAACCCGCTGCTTTCTACGGACTCCTCTGGAACATATTGAAGATAGTGTATATATTTATTGTGTTAGTGTGTGTGCCTTATTTATAATTAATATTATATTTCTTATTTATGAAGAGAGAAGATTAAACATGTCATTGAACCGTTTCCTAATTTTCCAATAATAGGATTCAATGAAATGAACGCGAATATTTTCCACTTTTAGTGGATTACTAGTCGGTAATAATAATTTAAAGAAAAAAAATTCAATAAATGTTTCGTACCGATAATAGTCAAGAATCGAATTTAAAAAGTTAAATATCAGTAGCTAATTTTGAGCTTTATTTATCAAGTGGCATAGATATATAAATATATATTTATATTAAAATACATTTATTTTATTTTAAATCCAATGTAAGTATCAAGAATTCGTCATCCTTCTTGGTGCTGGAGGAAATGGATAAGACCAATTGCTCCTGCCGGGATCATTATTACGTTCTTGTTGAAAATCAGAGGATTTGTGAGGAGCATAAGTTTTATTTATCACACCCTGCGTGTCCTCTTGATCCGTATTTCTGCTTTGAAGTTTTGACGACAGCTGACTGAAACATTTCATTCTTTATACACTTATCCAATGTCCGTAAAAAATAAAAGCATGAATAAAATATAAGGAAAGAATAAAACCGAGATGGACGTTATAACTTTATATAAAATTTGATATCGATTTGAAAGCACAAAAAAGAAAGAAAAAAAATACCTCATGATACGATCCCCCAAAGAATCTTCAATTTTCGGTAATTTTCTTCTAATGTTTCTCGTATCGAAACTTTCTTCTATAATAACATGCCTGTCATAAGGAGTATCATAATCGACTTCGAGTATTGTTGAAAATTGATGAGGAAATATTAAATCTATCGCTGTTACAACGATACCAGCAAAAACACATCCGATACCTATAAAATATCAACGTCATAAATGGTATACATTTACTGTACACTGGGAGATATGAGAAACATTATAGAAACAATCTAATTTATCACCTGCAACCAAAATCAACCAATAATTCCAGCCCATATCGAAAGCGAGAATTGAACCGTCTATATGAGCAATCAACGGTTCGCATGGTAGCAATGCCCAATAAATTAGATTTGTGCAGAGCATACACAATCCTGTCATGATCATACTGTATGCGCCGTAACGTGGTACGACCATAAGTAATAAATTCATCATACACCAAGAAGCAAAAGAGGTCCTAAAAAAATAAAAAATAAAATAAAGAAATAGAATCAAATTATCCTTCATCTCCTGATATCCTTTTAAAAACGTTTCAATCGTAAACAAAACTCACCAAAGCATTATAGACGCGTAGTAACCAGCTTCACGGTATTTACTACCCCAAGAAAATCCTTCCTGATGAAGGCTAAAATATTCCGCCAGTGAAACGATTGGAAAGGGAGCTCCTTGATAAAGCGCTTGTTTGAAAGCACTCGTCATTTCGTTAGAACCCCTCCACGAGAATCTCTCATTATACTCGGCATCATCGTTCGTGTGTTCGCTGTCTGGTAGGTCTGATGAAGGCAATCAAAGGACAGATTAGCAATTAAAAAAATAAAAAAAATATAAAAGGAAGAAAGAAGGAAGAATGGAAGCTAATGAAATATGTAACTCGCGAGGGGGAAGAGAAATTCCTACGACACGAGAATCTCTCTCTTTCTCATTTTAAGATGTCATCGGCATCAAACGTTCTCGTTTCTGAGCACGTCCGAATGTTAGAGATTCAGCAGCATTTCTAGGATAAATTTTTCAACGTTCAAACGTGGACTGGTCGTTTCTTTTAAAGGGGATCATCCCAAACCTAATATGCTTCATTCGTACATTTTACATTTCAGTTTGCAAAGGAGTACTAATCTTTTCATAAACTGACTCACTTAAAATTTCACTACACGTTCTTTATAAAGCGTATGAAGTAGTCATCGTTGTTTAATATTATGACTCACGTTTGTAGGTAATGTTGATATGCATGAGTCCAATGTACCCGCCAATTTGGGCTCTTGTTTTATGCCTGGAAAAAGCGCTGTACGAACTAACGATGGTTGCTGAACTGGTATGCCAAGATGAGCCATACTGAGCGACTTAAAGCAAATCAATTAAAGTTGCATTTTTTTTCTTTTTTTTTACATACAAAGAATCATCTTTTATGCTGACCAACAAGGTCGACTCATTGAAAGTAATATTGTACAGACCTTGAATTGTTGCTCCAACGAAGAGACTCAGGGTAACGATCAGGAACGTAGTTAGTCTCTACAAAAAAATATCATTTTGAATAAATTCATATTCTTTTCCTTGTAATATTTCATTTCTTCTTTTGTCAATTTTCTCAGATTAAAAATTAATTTAACTTACTTCTTTTCGTATACCAGGAAATATGACTAGAAAAGCTGTAAATATTGTCCCGAAAATAACAAAGACGATAACAAGAGCAACATCGCCGGTGACTGGTGTACGATTACTATAACTATAGAGAGTTGGTCCACCATCGTTTCTGAAAGCATCGAACCATCCCTTCATCTTTGCGTATTTTTTTTTTCACGAAGACCAACCACAATCTAGAGTATTTTTTCCTTTTAAAACATCGACAATGAATAAAAACAAAAAGAAATGAAAAAATTAACGTTAAACGATAAATCGATTGATATAATTTGATTTATTCGATTAATTGCATTATAGACAACTTACTTTGTAAAATTTCGAACGTCAGCGTGTTCTCGTTATACTACTTGGTCGTTTCCGCCTGCTCTTATAACTCGACAAGTTTCACGTTGCATCCTACGATATTCCTCGAGCCATTCAAGGACAGAATGATTCCGGTAATGTAATTATGTTCGAAACGATGGATCCTCCTTGTCGAGATAGGTGCACCTGTGATAGCAAAGCGAGAGACTGAAACATAGAACGTATACTGAAAGCAGCAGTAGGTCAACGGGTTCTCTCGCTTTCAAAGTAATTTCCACCATCGAGCAACGGCCTCGTCGGTGGAGGGACAGATCTTGGGACAGGTGGGGCGTTCTTCGCTTTGCGTCCCGCATGAAAGAGAAAGAAAGAGAGGGAAATAGAAGAGAAAGGAAAGCCATGGAGAAAAGGGGAACAGAAAGAGAAACGAAAACATGATCGTGTGCAATGGATTATTGCATATCAGCTGTGAGAAAGCGCATAAATTACGTGCCTCCTGCTCATCACGTTTTTACTTTTCATTTAATCGTTTTCTATGATAAATATATCGATCGATGATGGTCCATAAAGAGTCAGAGATATCGATGCTTGATCAAACAATGTCGATCGTGTATGCACATTTCACCTAGTGTCTATTTTTTTTATCTATATTTCGTATATTCACAATCTACCGATACGCACATTGCAATTTTTCATCTAATTGGACACGTTGAATTTTACGTGACATTGTTTTTGTAAGATAAATCAAATAAAATAACACCTCTTCAAATATCTAACAATAAGATCAATTTGATTAAGCAACCACCTACTGCCCAATCTTTCTATTTGAAATTCTTCTCGATAAAAAAGAAGACAATAGGAGTAGAAGAAGAAGAAGAAGAAGAAGAAGTTCCATTGAAAGAGGAAGAACCGGTAGTCCGGTCTTCCGCATGCTGTGAAGAAAATCGGTCTCCACGTTAGCGTCTGTGGACAGGATACAAGGTATGCATCGGGAGCATCTATCTCTTTCTCTCTCGCATACATAGCGCCGGCAATAACTCGGGCTATTTCTGCTTGTCTAATTTGGTCCGGGTGACGCTATGCCTTTAGGCAGCAGCTTGTGGCAGAGCATCATCCACCGTCGTCACCGACGCCACCTTCATCGTCGTCGTCGTCCTCGTCGTGGATCGTCGATCGTCGTTACCAGGGAAAAGCAACAAGAAGAGAAAAAAAAAGAAAAGAATAGAAAAGAGAACAGAAAGAGAGAGAGAGAAGAGTATACGGCGTGTCGGCAAGAAGTTCCTTTTAGTCCCTTCGCAAAGAAGACAAGGAAGATCACGGATCTATCTCTACTTGGCTACAACATCCTTGTCTCTGATCTTCTTTTCTTTCTGTCTACCTTCTGTATATATAGATATAGATATATACATATATACCAGTCCTATATACATATACATCGATCTAACTCACTTCTCGTTCTTCGCACACGATCGTCGGACTGCTCTTACTCCGAGCATTGGAAGGTAATCGATTGAACCATCTTTTTTCCAGCAAGCTTTTAACCGCACGCGGTCGATCGATGTGTCAGGACCACCACCGACCATTCTCCTCTGCTACTCGTGCTACTCGTGCTACTCCTGGTGCCGATACTAGTGGTAGTAGTGGTGGTGGTGATGGTGGTGGTGGTGGTGGTGATGGTGGTGGTGGTGGTGAGAATGATAATGATGATGATGATGATGGGTATTGGTATTGGTGGTAGTAATAGTACTAATAGTAGTGGTGGTGATGAAGGTGGTGGTGGTGGTGGGTGGTGGTAGTGGCGATGTTATTGCTACTATCCCTGGCTACCGTGGTGGTTTAGCGCTTTTGCGAGAGAGATAGGTCAGAATCGTAATACGATTCGAGTCGAAGCCCACGTAAAATAGCTTCTACGATAACGGCATTTCCTGACGTGTTACTTTTCATTCAGATCACTCCGCAGTTGGAACAGAGAAACGGATAAACGATTTGGGTATAACGATGAATACTGATAGATATCGAGGGAAGTGAAAAGTTTGTGGTTTGAGCTGTATCGAATAGATATCGGTCTATCGATAATAACTACGAAGGCTATCGAATCGAATCGTTTAACGTTGGTCTCTTCCTACCACGAGATTATTCTCTTCCTGCCTTGATATCTGCCTAACGGCAAGTGCTCGAGACTCTATCGCGGTGAGTCTTCTAAAAAAAAAAGTCCGATACGGATAAAAAAAAGTTTGTTGATCAAGAGGATAGATCGTAAATGGGAGAGGAAGATCGAGAGATCCCAAAAGTCTTCGTAGTCGTCTTGTCTTCTTCAATCCACGTCATTGTCTATTCTCTTGACCGTGCTTTTTGATCAAACATGCTGGTGGTGGTGGTTGTGATGGTACTGGTGGTGGTTGTGGTG